TTGTCGACCCCCCACCCCACGATTCCTCTCCCAAAATTGTCCAACGCCCGCCTCCCCGCCCCCCACCTCGCCCCGACATCCCCACCCCAGATTGCCTCTATTCTTGGGACGCCCCACCCCATGATTCTTCTCCCAAAAACGTCCAACGCCCTTCTCCCCGCCCCCCACCTAGCCCCGACATCCCCACCCCAGATTGCTCTGTTCTTGGGACCCCCCACCCCACGATTCCTCTCCCAAAAACGTCCAACGCCCCCCTCGCCGCCCCCCACCTGGCCCCGACATCCCCACTCCAGATTGCCTCTGTTCTTGGGACTCCCCACCCGACGATTCCTCTCCCAAAAACGTCCAACGCCCCCCTCCCCGCCCCCACGCTGGCCCGACATCCCCACCCCAGAGTGCCTCTGTATCTTGGGACCCCCCGACAACCCCACGATTCCTCTCTCAAAAACGCCCAACGCCCCCCTCCCCGCCCCCCACCTGGCCCCAACATCCCCACCCCAGATTGCCTGTTCTTGGGACCCCCCACCCCGCGATTCCTGTCCCAAAAACGCCCAACGCCCCCCTCCCCGCCCCCCACCTGGCCCCGACATCCCCACCCCAGATTGCCTCTGTTCTTGGGACCCCCCACCGCCACGATTCCTGTCCCCAAAACGCCCAACGCCCCCCTCCCCGCCCCCACCTGGCCCCGAACTATCCCCACCTCTTGGGAATACCCAGATTGCCTCTGTTCTTGGGCTGCACCCAACCCCACGTTCCTCTCCCAAAACGTCCAACGCCCCCCTTCCCCTCCGCCCACCTGGCCCCGACATCGCCTACCCCAGATTGCCATCTGTTCTTTGTACCCCCCACCCCACGAAATTCCTCTCCCAAAAACGTCCCCAACTCCCCCCTACCCCGCCCCCGCCTGGCCCCGACAAAATCCCCGCCCCAGATTGCCCTCTGTTCTTGAGCACCCCACACGACAAAATCCCTCTCCCAAAAACGTCCAACGCCCCCCTCCCCCCTCCCACCTGCCCCGACATCCCCAACACCAATTGCCTCTGTTCTTGGACCCCACCCCACGATTCCTCTCCCAAAAACGTCCAACGCCCCCCTCCCCGCCCCCCACCTGGCCCCGACATCCCCACCGCAGATTGCCTCTGTTCTTGGGACCCCCCACCCCACGATTCCTCTCCCAAAAACGCCCAACGCTCCCCTCCCCGCCCACCACCTGGCCCCGACATCCCCACCCCAGATTGCCTCTGTTTTTGGGACCCTCCACCCCACGAATCCTCTCCCAAAAACGTCCAACGCCCACCGCCCCCCACCTGGCGACAGCTATCCAGCTTTACGTATTTTCGTCACCGACGCGAGGCTCCCCTCAGCGACTTCCTTCCGTTTGCGCTCTTGGCCAGCACAGCAGCCGTTGCACCTCTGCTTTCCATCCGCCTTCTGCGTCGTTCGCCCGGCCAACCAGGTGCTGTAGTGCTCCCTCTCGAAAGCGCCCTTACATTCCACACATTTCCACTTTCCACGCTGCAGCTTCGCGCCATCGATGCAGCGCTTGCACTTGCGGTGACGCTCTGCCACGCCCTCCCACATCCACTGCGAAAAGCATTCACGCCGCTGCGCCACCCCGCACGCAACGCAGGCTCTCTCGTCCTTCCTCGCAGCCGCGTCCCTCTGCGCAGCGCCAGCGTCGACGCAGCGCTTGCACTTCCGGTCACTCGCGACCACTCCATCCCACATCTTTCGTGAAAAGCAATCGCGCCGTTGCGCCACCCCGCACCCAACACAGGTCTTCACGTCTTTGCTCGCCGCCATATTCCGTTGGGCGGTTGCAGCGTCCACGCACGTGGTACAGGCAATCGACGCTTCCGACGCGTTGACCAACATGTGAGAGGAGAATTCCGCCTTACTCTTCGCCGCTCCACATGCTGAGCATACCACTCGCTTCGCTTCTTCGGCGCGGGCCTTCTCCACCTCTCTCTGCGACTTCTTACAAGCCTTGCATGTGGGTTCGTCGTTGACCTGTTCCGCTTTGGCAAATTCAACTGGTAACTTCTGCTGGCCGCAGCGCGAACACGTCAGGTGCTTCTTCAGCTCCTCGCATTCCAGGCACATCCCTCCTTTGCACCGGGCGTTCCCTGCCTTATCCCACTGAAACGCCGCGAAAGCTTGCTCGTACTTCCGATCCTCGCACACGCGACAACTCCGTCTCTCCGGGCAGTCCACGCAGCGCCGCGTGGTCAACTTCGACGGATGGTGCTGTGACGCGTGGAACGCCTCCTGGCACTTCCATAGACCACACTCCATGCATTGCCACGGCGTGCCAGCCCTCTTCTTATCTTCCATGCACACGCTGCACACGCGGAGCCCATCTGCGCGGCTCCACTGCCCGACCGTTGGGTACATGTTCTTGTACTTCGTGCACCCGCAGACCGCGCACCTGCCAGACGGCATGAACTCGCGCTCTATCGCCTCCCAGTCCAATTCTTCTCCGCGCAACGTGCGCAGCAGTAAGTCCGGGCCCTTCCGTTCGTCCTTCTTCTGATACGGCGCAATGTCGAAAGGGCGAAAGATCAGCATGTCCTCGCGGCGCTGCACCCGCGTCAGTGCCACGTAGCTCGACAGAGGTGACGTGCCCCCGCCGATGCTCAGGTCCACTATGACACCTTGCTTGAACGTCTGCCCCTGCGCCGCATGGGCCGTCACTCCGAAGGCCGGGGCCAGCGGGAACTGCCGTCTTTTGACCTTCAGTCGCGGATGCGGACGGCCCTTGTCCACGAACCAATCTTTCTTCTGCGGGATCACGGGGTACAGGCCGGGCGTCTTCAATCCCTCGATCGTCCACTGGCATGGCTTCCTGCCGCCGTTCCCGTCATCGCCTTCGTCGAACAACACGAAAATCACTTTCGGCGTCTTCTTCAATATGGTCTCCCCGCCGCGCGTGACTCGATCATCGACGCCGTCCCCGTCGCATACCCAGGATTGCACCCGGCCCACGCGACCGCGCAGCAGGTTCTTGTCCTCGCTTCGATCGATATGATCGGTCAGAGCGACGGGCATGCCTTCAGCGATGGGTAAGAAGCCGTACAAGTCCCCGCTCTCCTTGTCGTGGCGTTGGAGCCATGCCATCTTCTGCTGCGGCAGATCCGGCCGCTCCCGCAGCGCCTCTGGCGTGGACGTATCTCGCGCAGGGACGTACACCATCGGCTTCCTGTGCTTGCGTGCGTACTGGGACGCACGGAGCTTGTTCGCCTCGTACTTCACGTCGTTGTTTGGGAACACACCCGGCGCCACGAGGAACTTGTCTGACTGCAGACGCGGGTCGTCGGGGCCATCCACCACGAGCTTGCGGCGCGCGCGTTCCGCTCTGCACACCTTGCACTCCTGCTCGCGGATATCTTTCGGCGTCACGGGGCGTTTCCGTCGTTGCCCCGCGCTTGACGACGCTGCGTCCCTTCCGCCACTGCACAACTCCCGACACGCCCGATTCCCGCAGCATACGTCCCCCCCCAGCCAGCTCCCAGGGACGGTCGTATGCCGGCCGTGCAAGAATGCGTGCGCATCCGCCGACAGCGACCCTGTTCGGAATTCCTCCTGCACCTCCTTCAACCAGGCGTCGTCGCATCGCTCGCACTCTACCAGCTCTGTCACGCCCTGAACCCCACACTCGGCTCCGCCCCACAGTAGCGACTGCCCGTGCAACACGGGTGGCAGCGAAGTGTACCTGCGCGCAGCCGAAATCCGCTCCGTGGGGACGTCAGCGAGGAAGCCTCCGTCTGGGGGGGCCAGCTGCCAGAAGTCACCACTCAGCACGACGTTCAGGCCGCCGAACGGGCGTGGAACGCCATCGTCGCCGAGTTTCGTCGTGCCCACGTCCCGAATCACCCCGCGAAGTTTCGCGTCCACTTCTGCTAACAATTTAGCGCTCACCATGCTTATCTCATCGATAAAGAGCCACCTCCACTGGAGCAGTCGCTTCGCAGTCTCGTACTGCAACTTCACGTCCTCCCCCCCCTTCTCTTCTCCCCGCTTGATGGCCGGAATGCCACACGCATGGCGAATGGTGTCGCCCCCCAGCAGCTGAGCCATGACGGCCTGCAGGGCGGTTATCTGGAAGTGCACTCCGATAGTCCATTTCATCACCTTCTCGAACAGCTCATGACGAATAATGCGAAGCACGTGCGACTTGCCGGTCCCAGGGCCCCCGTGCATGCACCACTGCAGCGGCTCACCCATGCTGCCGTCCTCACTTCCCTCGCCGTCTATCTCGCGCATTACTCGATTCGCCACCTTCTTCACCATCTCGAACTGCTTCGCGTTCACTACACGCCGCCCCGTCTGCTTGTCCACCCGGAACTCTAGATCCTTGAGCCACGCGGTCACGTCCTCCGATGTTGCGGCCTGGCCAGCGACGGTAACTGCGCCGTCAGCCTCCGCCAGGCGGTCCGCCATGGACTGCTCCTTGTTCCGAGATTTGCGCGCCTCCCTGAGTACCTGCTCAACGTCGCAGGACTCTTCTGCGGGCCACGCACCCAGAATCTCGCTCAACGGCGTTTCGCCATCGCGGAGCCCCCACACCTGTTGCGCGACACTCATGCCCCCTTTCGAATTTTCGTAGTGGGAGACGCCTCCGGCTCCCTGCCCAGGGTCTGCGTCGTCCTCCTCGCTGCTGCTGTCCCCGTCGCCGTCCTTGCGCCTCTTCCCGCCCACGCGGGACTTCAGCGCCTCGTCGAGCTGATCGAAGCCCACGTCCAACTCCTCGTCGCTCACGTCTTCGTCGGTCCCGTCCCCCGCCTCTTCAGTGTCTCGTGGCCGAACGCGGTACACACTCAGGAAGTTGCCCACGTACCGCGCGGCTTCCCTCGTCTGCACCCCGCCGTCCAGCCATGCCACCATGGCCGCGTCCCACGTCGGCGCCTCGCCGCGCAGGCTCCCTGCAAACACGACGTGCGCGTCGGCCGCGTCGGGCCCCAACGTCCACGGGTGGAAGTACGTCATGACAATGCGCGCAGATCGCTCCGCTTCTCCAGGACGTCCGCGTGGCACGGGCGCTCCGAAAAATGTTGGTGCCTTGGGTCTCTTGTTCCGCTTGAGCACCCACGTGTGACGAAGGTGAGCGCACCCCTCTGTCTCTGGGTAAGGCACCCAATCCACGCCCCCTCCTTCCTTTACCATGTAGTCCTCCCCAGGCACCAGGTCCTGCTCGAATCTCGGGTTCTTACAATTCTCCCGCACCTTTGCCTGCCCCTTCTGCGTCAAAACAGCGTGATGCCGGGGATGATCCGCATCCCCGAGTCTCGTCGGGAACGACAGCAACACCGGCGTCCAGAACGTCGCGAACTCGTACGGCGACAAGTGCCACAGGTCGGGCACGTTCGGTCGCAGTCCATACAACATGCCCACGTCTCGGAAGGTCACCTTTCTGCGTCTCCTCTGCCGCATGTCCACTTCAGCAAACTGCGCTTTGCGCCCGCCTCCCGCGCGGTCAGCCAGGCGCTCGACCAAGTCCATGTACTCGCGTCCATAAAAGGCGGTGGTCTGGCACGACTTCAGTGATTCCGCCGCAGTGACGTCGTCCTTCCTCGCAAACGCCCTCAGGTTCGCACACTCCACTTGCCCCCGCACGATGCCCTTGCCGTACGCGTCGCTCATGATTCGGTTCGCTACTCTCTTCCCGATCCGATTCGAATTCTCGCCCTCCAGCTGCCTGCCAAGTTTCTCTACTCCCTTGCAGCACTCCTTCACTTCGTGAAAAGCCATGGGTTGCCGCTTCGTGCAGTAGTCGCAGGCGTACCCTGCCTGTGCGTCCTGTGCCATCTGCGCGACCTTGATGATCGCTGCGTCGTTGAGCTTCTTATCGCACGCTTTCCCGCACGTACAACACACATCTGTGATGGGGAAACGATACGGCAATTGCACGTCGGAATTGAAACGTTGCGCGGACAACATGCATGGATGCGTGCCGTTCAGACTCGCGTGATTCATCGGCCCGTGCAGGCTTCCCGTCCGATTCCGTCGCCCTGCCTTGGGCATGTCCAACGCTGCCGCCTGCCCTGGACACACGACGATGGCGCGGTCAATGAGCTGCGACGTCCGCGGAAAGTCCGCCTTACACAACTTCGGGTTGTCCTTCCGGCGGCACGCCGGCAGGGGTACTCGCTCCCCAGTCTCCTCGTTCTTCAAATGAACGTGGTTCTGCTTCCTCTCCTGCAAGTACTGCACGTCTTCGTCCAAATACGCTTTCTCCCATGCCACAGCGTCGTCTGCTGCCTCCTTCTCCGTTGCTTCTGGGTCAAGTGTGCGACACTGAAACGCGGGCCTGCAAATGAGACCGCGCTCTTCCTTGAACTCCGGCCACGACTTCTCTGCCTCCTCCAACTTGCCATCCACCTCCTCCGATGTCATCTGCTCCGAATAAACCTGGCGGCACACGCGACTCTTATACTTCAAGTAATCCTCCACGATCTTTCTTCCGCGGCCGTCCACCTCGTCGCGTACGATTTCGAATACCTCTTCCAGCGGTGTGTGCTGGTGCAGGCACTGGATGAATACCTGGCAGTGCGCGTGGAGCGACCCCGTGGACTTCTGCGCTTCGATCGACACGTAGTAGGCATCAACGCGCCCGAACGCGCCCCCACCGGGCTCAGCATTACTCCCGAACAGGTCCTGGCACGGTGCCCCGTTCTCCGCCTCGTTGCACCGCGGGCAGTTCGGACAGATCCGCACGCCGAACAAGTGACGGAGCGCGGCGTCCACCAGGATACGGAACCCGTCCACGCTGGCCATGGGATCTCTCGCAAGAATTCGTCTGCGCTCGTTCCATGGCGGCACTTCTGCCTCCCCCGCGGCCATTGGCAGGTCCATCTGCAGCCCATCCATGTCGGGGGCTACGCGCGGCCAGCCCCGACCCCCCGCCAGCCGCGACTGCGCTTCGTCATCAGCCGCCTTGTGCACAGGGTCTTGCCGTCGAGTGCGCGAGAGTCTCACCATGAGAAGATTGTGACCTTCGTCGGGCGAGAAGGTTACGAAAATGGGGACGCCGTACCGCACTCGCAGCGCGTTCGTCTCAAATCGCATGACTCGACGCGCTTCCTGTGTACCAGACAGTCGCCGCGAAGTGTGCTCTATGTGCGTAAGCAGCTTATGGGCGGCTTTCCCCAACGTTGGCACGTGCCGCACTTTGGTCATGTCGCCGTTCACTTTCTGTTTCCTATTGTTGATGTCTACGTACTTCCCGTCGAGCGCTTGATAAATCTGCTTCGCTCCTTCCGCGATTTCCGCGGGAGTGAGCTGCTCGACCTCGCCTGATGCGTTCGCGGACACATACGTGAACCACGTCCTACTCAGGTTCACGGCCGATCGAAACACAAGGTTCCACGACACGAATCCGAAGTGCCAGTCGCGGGAAATCTGGCTCTCCACGCGACGACTCATTATCCTCACCCACAGCGGCAGCTCCACCCGCGGCGCCCCGTTCCCCCTTCGGTGGCGCGGGCGCTTCATGAACTCTGGGCAGTCAGGCATTCCCGTGCAATACTTAAACAAGAACGCGAACGCTACCCCAAAATACCAGGGCTCGAACTGATCCATCATAACGTTTCCAGTGCGCACGCGGAGCCGATCCACGCGCTTCCTTTCGCGCCCAGCCTGAGTCAGCATGTCGCGCTCCACTGCTTCTCGGGCCGCCTCATTCGCGCCCGAGGGCACTCCCTCGTGGACGCGCCCGCGTTTACTTGCCCGTTCTGCCTTCCCGCCGTCTTCCTCGTCCTCGCTGGAGTTCGACGTGTCGTCGGCCCCGCCATGCGCGCACTCCTCATCCAGCCTTTGCACGAAGGTCCGCACGGCCTCAATCCGCTGCGCATTGATGTCTATTTCGTCGAAACTGCTCTTCTCACACACAACAGCGTTCGCCTTCGTGGTCTCCAAAATCTCTCCTGCCTCACGTAGCCCGTCGGGCCTCGGCACGGGCGTCGCCGCCTTCTGCATTTGGATCTTCTCCAGCGCGTCGTCCAGGGGCACCAGCCGCATGACCTCTGGTGGCACGCCTTCCTCCGGAAGCTCCATGGCCTTTCTCCGGACCTCATCCATGTCCACGTTCCGGTACGCGCGATGCCCGCGAGCCTTCGCCCCCTGGATGAGATCCACGACCACCTTCCTGCGCGCGAGAGCCTGGTGTACGAACGTGGACATGCTTGCAGCAGTATCGTCGTCGCCGCCCGACTTCAAGATCACTGACACAATGCCTGCAAGCTCCGCGCCCGTGCGGGGAATTACCGGCGCATGCCCGTCCTCGGCAGCCTCTTCAGCAGCAGCCAGCTGCGCCAGAACGTCCGTCCACGGCATCGGGAACGACGTCGCGTTTCCGCGGGCCGCCATGCGGACCTCGTTCGCACCCACTTCCATGTCAAAAGACCTCTCCTTCCGGTATCGTTTCTCCAGCGTGAAGCACACCATTGATGCGATGCAGACAGAGGCGCAGATCATCTCCAATATCGTCACCTTGCTACCGAACAGTTCTTCCGGCGAATAGAAAGCCATCATATCATTGGCCAGCGCCGCGGGGGGCAGCGTCGCCTCGCCGCGAAGGCCCACCATCGCGTTCTTACACTCACCACACAACGGGGCTTCACAACACTTGCACGCCGTGTTCTCCGAGTGCCACGTGCCACCTCCGCACCGCATGTCCTCGGGGCAACAGAGCACGCTGACGGGCCCCTCTTCTGATGGGACCGTCACTTGCCAATCATTGAACTCCTCCATACGATCTCGGAGATGAACACCGCTGCTACCCTCCCCGTCCGCACTCACATTGCCGAAGCGCTCCACGCACGCGTCCACCGACATATGCTCTCTCACAAAAGCGCCCGACAGCCAGAACAGTCCGTCCGCGTTCGGACTCACCGCGCGCCATTCGATCGGGTTCCCTCTGCGCCCTTCCACGTGTGGAAACTTCCGTGCGCACACCATGCACACGAGAGAGTCGACGGCACCCTCGCGCAGACTCCGCGCATACTCGAACAGACATCGGCGATCGATCGCCAGTGCTGCAAGCGGCGCGCCCGTTCGAACTTTCCATGCAATGGCCTCGTTGTACGCGGACCAGTACTGTGCCTCTCTTCGCCTCGTCTCGTCTTCTTCGTTGCACGCGAGCGCCTCCGCGACGTCCCGTAGATCCCCCGCGTGATTGCTTACCACATGCTCCTGGAGCTCCGCGTTGCTGGACCCTCTCCACCCGCATCTGCTGAAAGCGCAGTGCGCTGGCGGCAGTACTACGGCACCTCGTGAGAAGATGTCGTCGTCCTTCAACGATGCTCCGTGCACGGAGACCGCTGGAACGGTGGGGTGCTTTTTCATAAGCTCAGCAGCAGCCCGTAGACCTTCTTCCCTTCCCCTGCGACAGACGTCCGCGGACACGCGGCCGTTCTCGACAGCGCGGACGCGGTGCACGTGCGCTGCTCCCGCTGCCTCCGTGTAGCCGTTCTCCACCACCTGGGCCTTGCTCTGCTCCGTTCCGCTCCTGCCCGCACCGCCCGCACTCGCGTCCGGTCCTGCACTACTCGGCCGCGCCGTCCTGGACACCCCCCCTTCCTCCGACACTCGGCCCTCCCCGTCCGCGCTGGCCCTGCCCGAATTGCGCGCCTTCTCCGGCCGGCTCACCGGGTGCGGGGAAGGCGGAGGGGGCGCCCCCTGGTCGGACGGCCTCCTCCCACCTCCATTCTCACAGACTGTAGTCTGGGCGCTGGCGCCCCGGTCGGCCGGCGCGCTTTTCCGTGTTAAGCGTGCTCGTTTCGCCGTCGTCTGCAATCCTGCGCTCTCGGGCTGCCCTGTCTCTGTCCCAGCCACCTCCGGAGGTTCGTCTGCCCCCTCGGAAGCCGCTTTCCCGCGGGAATTCTTCTCGGCGCGCGTCCACACTGGCCTGTAACAGGTACTGCTGATGTCGGCGCCTGTCTCATTGTATATTTCAAGGACGACTGCCCCTTGCTCCTCGGTGATATCGCCCGCACGAGGCCATTGCCCCTGTACCGGGCTGCCCCCCAGGATCTCCTCTCGGGACAACGTCATGTCATACCCCCCGCGTGGCCCGACGTGCCCGTCAAAGCGGGAGTACGTGCGCAAGATAACTCGGTCTGGCAGCGCTACTCCTTGCATGCCGTGGCGGGCCAACGCAAACCTCACGATCTCGCCTGCATGAGCGGCAACGCTTAGCTCCCCACCGTGCGACGCCAGATTTAACCACGCATCCTCGACGTTTCGCAAATACCCCACGCACGCTTCACATGCGACGCGTCGCTCCTCAGCGGACGCCAGGGCATGGCCACACCACCCAGCGTTCGACACAAGCTGGAAGATACTGTCCGCTAGGCTAGCGTTGACCCCGTGTGCAAGCGATGCACCCACACAGCGGCCATCCCGTGCCATCTCGGCCCCGCGTTCCTCGTCCGTCTTCGCCTCGAACACCACTTCCCCCATCAAGAATTCCATGAACTTGCACGTCCGTTCTTCCACCACGCGGCATCTATCCTCTGCGTCGGGAGCGTCTGCCAGAGCGTCCCATGACTCCTCCCACCCCTGCCAGGCACGCACCCACGTTTCTTGCATGACTCGCAGGAGCGCTTCCGTGTCGCCCCACGCTTTCCAGAGCTGGGCGCGCAGCCCTCCTCCTCCTCCTGCCCCTCCTCCTCCTCCTCCTCCTCCTCCTCGGTACCCTTCCTCCCTTTTCTCCTCCCCGTCCTCCTCCTCCTCCTGCTCCTCCTCCTCCTCCTGCTCCTCCTCCTCCTCCTCCTCCTTCTCCTGGAAGTATCAAACCCGGAAATGAACGCCTCCTCCTCCTCCTCCTCTTCCTCCTCCTCCTCCTTCTGCCCCTCCTCCTCCCTCCTCCCCCCCTCCTCCTCCTCCTCCTCTCCTCCCTGGAAATCATCCTCCTCCTCCTCCTCGTCCTCCTCCTCCTCCTCCTCTCCTCCTCCCCCTCCTCCTCCTCCTCCTCCTCCTCCTCCTCCTCTACCCTCCTCCCTTTTCCTCCTCCCCGGCCTCTTCCTGATCCTCCTCCTCCTCCTCCTCCTCCTCCTCCTCCTCCTCCTCCTCTCCTCCTCCTCCTGCTGCTCCTCCTCCTCCTGCTCCTCCTGCCCCTCCTCCTCCTCCTCCTCCTCCTCCTCCTCCTCCTCCTCCTCCTCCTCGGTACCCTTCCTCCCTTTTCTCCTCCCCGTCTTCCTCCTTCTCCTGCTCCTACTCCTCCTCCTGCTCCTCCTCCTCCTCCTCTCCTCCTGGAAGTATCAAAGCCGTAAATCAACGCCTCCTTCCTCCTCCTCCTCCTCCTCGTCCTCCTCCTCCTCCTCCTCCTGCCTCTCCTCCTACTCCTCCTCCTCCTCCTCCTCCTCCTCCTCCTCGGTACCCTGCCTCCCTTTTCTCCTCCCCGTCCTCTTCCTCCTCCTCCTCCTCCTCCTCCTCCTCCTCCTCCACCTCCTCCTCTCCTCCTCCTCCTGGAAGTATCAAAGCCGCAAATGAACGCCTCCTCCTCCTCTTCCTCCTGCCCCTCCCCCTCCTCCTCCTCCTCCTCCTCCTCCTCGGTGCCCTTCCTCCCTTTTCTCCTCCCCGTCCTCCTCCCCCTTCTGCTCCTCCTCCTCCTCCTGTTCTCCTCCTCCTCCTCCTCCTCCTCCTCCACCTTCTCCTGGAAGTATCAAAGCCGGAAATCAACGCCTCCTCCTCCTCCTCCTCCTCCTCCTTCTGCCCCTCCTCCTCCTCCTCCTCTTCCTCCTCCTCCTCGGTACCCCTCCTCCCTTTTCTACTCAAGGCACCGGATAGGACCATGGCCCAGGAGGATCCACGCGTCCGCGGGCAGCCAGCCCCCGTCCCCCAGCGCTGTGGGACCACACTTCAAGAACGAATGCGGGGCACAAGGATCACGACGACGACGAGGACAAGTATGACGACGAGTACGACGACGAGTACGACAACAAATACGACGACGAGCACGATGACGAGTACGACGACCAGTACGACGACGAGTACAACGACGAGTATAACGGCGAGTACGAGTACGAGTACGAGGTACGAGTACGAGTACGACTACGAGGACGACGACAAGAAACGACGACCACGACGACGACGACGACGAGGACGTCTGAACCCCCAAGACCCGAAGAACCCACAACGGGCCCCAAGAGCCCCAAGGGGGCCCAAAGTATGCCCCATGCATTCAAGCGCTTCTCAAGAAGCCTCCACGGGCTCCACAACTGCCTGCCAGAAAAAGAAGGCGACCCTCAGCCGGGAGAATAGGAGGAAGACGACGACGACAACTCCACCTGGTGATCTTGAGATGAGAGGCCCGAGTGGAACCCAGTTCGCTCGCCGCGCAATGCGAACAACGGGTTATGTGAGGACGCGCTGTGAACATCAGGAGCAAGAGGCTAGTTAAAATAAGCTCCCCGACCGCTGCCGCAGCAACGAAAGGCTCCGAAGGATGGCAGGCCTGGAAACCCGAACCACGACGAAGCCGACGGCGAGGTCGACAACGAGAACGAGGACGAGGACGACGACCGCGACGACGACGGCACAGCGTCCGCACACGAAACTGTCACGAAACCTCCTTTCCGCCAGCGGGCGTCGGGCACGAAATTGTCACGAAACCTCTCTTCCACCACCGGGCCGTTTGGAAGCCCTTGGGGCGTATCTTTGGGCCTCCTGGAGGCTGTTGGGGCCTCTTCGGGGCTTTGGGGGAACTTGTTGGCTGTTTCGGGCCCGTTGGGGGAATGAAGGTTTCGTGAAGGAGGAGGAAGATGTACGAACATTACACCCACATCAATTGAATTACTGCAGCGTGAATGCCTGTGCCGGAAAGACAGGCAAGATCGGAGAGGCGCCCAGAGACATGATGCCCAGAATGTGGTGCTCCGCCCCCGTGCCCTCTGGCACGTGGAGGCGTGCTAGAATGCCAAGTCCTG